CCTTCTTACTCTGTACAGTAGCAGAGCTTGCTGTACAATGCAAAGGATTAATTTGCTATCCTAAAGAATAGGTAACTAAATAAAGTACCTTATAAGGCGTAGGTGCTTTGTTATTACTTTTTCTAAGAGATAGGTAACAAAACAAAGTACCTTATAAAGCGTAGGTACTTTATTATTACTCTTGCTAATTTATAGTTAATTAAATTAACTACTAATTAGTGTTAAATAGGCTCTAATAGCTAGCTGCTTATAGTATAAGCACTTAAGTAGTAAAAGTAAGAGTGGTGTACAGTGTGCACAGCGTACAAGGTAGGTAAGGTAAGGGCAACATATTTCTAGTTCTATTGCTCTTGTCTTTCCTCTATACAGAGGAAAAGGGGGATATCTAGATGTTCGCGCACAGAGGTTCGCGCACGAGCATCATGTGACATAGATACGTGATCCTGCTCGTGCGCGATCGTTCGTATCCAGGCCGCGACGCTGCTGCTGCGTACGGACATGTTAAGTATATACTTAAGCTTATTACGCGCAGATTTCCCCCTAGGCTTGCAGCTATAGCTAATATAGCTAATTCCTTGCCTATAAAGCGCAATCTAGGCTAGGTTAGCTTAAACTAGACTAGTATATAAGTTAAGCACTGCCCTAAGTTTATAATAAAGTTTAATTATAAGTATAATTATAAAAGAGCGCTTTATAAAAATCTAGAAGTTATCTAGGGCTAGTTTTGCCTTATAGCTAACATAAAAGCTAAGTATAGTATCTAGAATAAAGATAAGTATAACTTTAACAAGTTAAACTTTATAATAAGCTAGATATTAACTAAAGCAGTTGTTACAGCTTTAAAGAGATAAGGACAGCTAAAGGTAATATAGTAAGGTAATAAAAAGTAAATAATAGTTATCTAAGGCATTAACATAATAAAGTAGGCTATAAAATTACAAAGCTTTAAGCAGCAAATAAGGCTGCTACATAATATAAATTATATAAAAAAAAGCAGATTTAAGTAAAAAAGACTTTAATAGTTAAGAATAAAGCTTGTCTAACTACTCTAAAGGAGTTTAGAGCGCGTAGTAATAGGAAGAAGCTAAAGACGCAGGTGCGCGCTAAAAAAGGTAAGCTAAGTTAAAGGCAATATAGGCAGTGTAATTAGACTAGGCATAACTTACATATGTGTAAGTAAGTAGCAGAAGTAGACTCTAAATAATATCTTATGTTATATTACTCTATACAGGGCTAAAGTGGGCTGTTTTGCGAGAGAATAGGGTGGTTTTAGTAGGGGCTTGGCAAAAGTGGCCGGCCAACCTGTGTGGCCGGCCAACCCGTTAGGTACGTTATATATAGTTGTCTCTAAATTATAGCCTAAACCTAAATAAAGATCTTCTATGTTATCTTTTTTTATATAAAGAGAAGCTTCTCTTTTATTATATAAAGTTATATTAGCAGCCTATGTAGTATATATTAGGCAGTTTCTAAAGGTATTAGTTTACTTTTTAGTCTATAGTAACTTAAAGTAATGCTTATAAGTTACTAAATAAGGCTTTATATAAAGGCTTAATAGTAAACATAGCATGTTCTAGTTCTAGTTATCCTTAATAAGCTTATATAATAGTAGTGTGTAGTAAAATATCTTTTTAAAATTTTATTTTTAGTGCTTTTTATATAAGTGTAAGCTTATTAATTATTGTTTTAAAAACTTTATATAAACTTTTATTAAAATTTTTTTATTAGTATTATATAAAAGTTATTATTATTTAGTCTATCTAGTACTAGCTATAGTTTATATTAGTGTTAAAGTAACTACTTAAGGTGTTGTATAAATGCTTCTAGTTATATCTAAGGCCTATGTTATAAATATAGTACATATTTATATAACTTTTTAAAATATTTAGAAAGATGTTTATATACTAAGTTTTTTAAATATCTAGCTATTAATATAAATTAATAAAAATCTTTATTTTATTTATAAAAATGTTATATAGTTAACTTATATAGTTATTGTTTTTTTTATACTTTTTAAAATTATATAATTTCATTTACTAGAAGTTTTTTTTTAGTAGTTTTCTTTTAAAGTAAAAGTTTATCTAAGTTATAATATAGTATAGATTATATAGGTAGTATTAGTAGTGTATACACTACTATAGGCAGTAGTGTGTACAATTAAGAGTGTAAGGCAGGTGTTAGGTAGGGTAGCATGTATTATTTATATAGTAATTAGTGTAGTGCTAGCTAAAGTGTAAGAGTAGGTAATGCTAGTATATTTAGTATTATTAGCAGCATTATGTTTAGTCTACTTTTATAGAAAGCTTTATATAGTAATAAAGGTTATATATAAAGCCTTTTTAGTATAATTACTTTTTTTATACTATATTATATAGCTTTTAAGCTTAAGTACTTTTATTACTTAGCTATAGTGTAATTCTTTTATTTTTTAGTACTTATATAAGCTTTCTTTTAAATATATAGCTAAGTGCTAAAAAGTTTTATAGTGTTTATTTTTTAAAATTTTTAATATATATAAACTTAAAAAAGTACCGCTTTTTTAAGTTATTATATATAAGTTAGTAATTATATAACTTATATATAATTAGATTTATAAGCTTATTAAAGCTTTTAAGATGTTAATCTTATTATTTTAGTACTTTAGGCTAGTTTTATTTTATATTATTACCTTAAATATCTTTATATCCTTTATAAGTTATTTATATAATAAAAATTATTTTTTATTTTTATTATTATTATATAAAGTTGTTAGTTACTAGTAGGATTTTATTATAATAGTATAGTTAATTACTTTTTTAGTAAATTATATAAGTACTGCTATTATCTAGCTGCTAGGTTGTGCAGCTTTAATAGCTTTAGTGTGTGTCTTACACTATCTTTTTCTTACTCTATATAGTAGCAGAGCTTACTATATAATATAAAAAATTAATCTACTATCTTTAAAAATAAGTAATAAAACAAAGTACTTTATAAAGTGTAAGTACTTTATTATTACTTTTACTAATTTATAGTTAATTAAATTAACTACTAATTAGTGTTAAATAAGCCTTAATAGCTAGCTACTTATAGTATAAGCGCTTAAGTAGTAAAAGTAAGAGTAGTATACAGTGTGCACAGTGTACAAAGTAAGTAAGGTAAGGGTAATATGTTTCTAGTTCTATATTACTCTTATCTTTTCTTTATATAAAGGAAAAGAGGGATATCTAGATGTTTATGCACAGAGGTTTGCGCACAAGCATTATGTAACATAGATACGTGATCCTGCTTGTGCGGGATCGCTTGTATCCAGGCCGTGACGCTGCTGCTGCGTACATACATAATGTAAATTTATAAAAACAAAACTCTAACATAGATTAAACTATAATAGCTTTATAGTTAATTAATAATTTTTTTTATAACTTAAAGGTAAAAATTTTTTTTATAAATTTAAAGTAAGTAGAAATTTATAATAGCTAATTTCTTTAAATTTGTTAATTTTTATAAGTTAGTTCTATAGTTCTATTATAAAAATCTACTATTATATTTTTAAGCAGCTTACATGTTTAAAATTTAGCTTTTTACTTTACTTAAAAGCTAAAAGTATTTAACCTTCTTTATTAGTATGTTAAAAGTAATTAGTCGATACATTATAAATTAAAGTACAAGGCGTAGAAATTTTATTAAAGTAGCCTATTTACTTGTGTAGACTGCTTGCTTGTAAAATACATTATAAATTTACACAAGAGTTTTTAGCTAATTCTAGTTAGTAGTTCTAGATATTTCTACTTATTAAGTAGGGGTTTCCTAGTGCTTTAGAGCTACTAACTTACTTAGGGTGACAACTCGCTTGTGAAGCATGTTAGTTCTAACACTAATATTAAGATATTTATAAAAAACTAGGGTTCGTAAGCGATCTTGCATGTGCGCGGGAATTTCGCGATGGCTGCTAAGGAATCCACTGATTACTGCATATAACAAATGCATTCCGCGAGGCTGTGCATTATGCACTAAAATACGGGAGAGGGCTGGACCAAGCGGCTGCAGGACGCCTACGGAGCGGTTCGCAAGGCAAACGGCCCGCAATGCGAGCGGCCCGCAAGTCTCGCAGGTACCCCGCTTCCACAAGAGGGGTCCCTGTGGGGGCTGGAAACAGAAGAATCACCTAATTCGTTAGATAGAGATTACCAATCCCTATGTATTTCAGATACCCTTGATGACTAAGTACCTGTTATATACCTATTAGAATACTAGATGTCGCGTTAATAGCTTATGCCTACGTTATTGTTAACTACACATACTAAATATACTTTATCTTTACTCTATAATGTAATACAAGCTAGACTACCTATTAGATCTTCTAAAAGAGTAAAATACTTTACGTTACCATCTATTATTATGTATAAAGGTATTAGATAGTGTGAAAAGCTTTAGAAAATTGTTCTACACATGCTATATCTATTTACTAACATCTAGTTAAAGTATACACTAAGCTTTTTTTTATAAAAGTTAAAATTTATTTTTAAAAATAGCCTAAAAGAATAGAATTAAAACTAGTAAAAAAATATACTTATAAATGTTTTTAAAAAAAGTTACTATAAAAGAGTTACTATAAGTATATTATTAAATATTCTATTTATATAAACTAGTATAATAATATTTAAGCTTAAACTATAGAAACTTATAAACAATATTTTAATTACTAAGATAGAGAAATAAAAGTTATTTAATTATTGTCGTAATATAAATCATTTTTATACACTAATTTTTCAAGTTTAAAAACAAGCTATATATATTTTTAAACTTATATTACTACTTTCTATTTTTATAATAAAGCTTCTTTATGTATAGAAAATGCTATAGAAAGAATTAAATATTAACTAGATATATAGATTCTATAGTAGCGAGTAATTCTTTTAATTAAATCTTTTATAAGTATATAGAAGTTTCTTAAAGATTAAGTATAGAAGTAGTTGCTAAAGACAAAAGAGAAGTTAATTAAATCTATTAAGAAATAAACTAGAATGAATATTAAAGGTATTTAGCGCCACTGTTGTAAGGCAGTAATGTAGTTAGGTGGTAGAGATACGCGATTTTAGGATACCAACTAGGTCTTGTTTTATGTACAATTACTAAGCTAAATAGGGCAGATCAAATGATCTATGATACATCTCGTAATCCTCGTATATTTAGCGTGCACAGGGTCCCCTCTTGTACTAACACCTCGCCGGAACGGCTTAGACTATGGCCGGACCGAGAAACTTACGGCTATTCTCGCAGCTAGAGAAACTAAGTCCCTCAGCCCGGAACGCGTAACGACTTTCCCCGCATGTGATATTGTGATGACAGGGAGAACTATCCCGCAACTGGGCGACGACAACTGTCGCATTCTACGTTTTTGTAGAGTGCCTAGGATTAGATTTAGTTACCCCGCAGAATACTGCAATCGTGTCAATAATATTGTCCTGTCCACCGTGAACTATTACTCAAAACTCGCTTCGTTCGTTGTTGTCTTCCGCTCACGACCTGCTGAAAGCAGACAAATGGATCTGGAACGGCCACCGACCTGTCTTTTCCGATCCGAGATGGACACCATGAGGCAACAAGTGCAGACATCACTCCTAGACGTCACAGATGTCTTCCACCTTTCCGAGCGCCTCATCACCGCTCTCCGGGACCCCTCACGGTGCGAGGACGGCTGTTCTCAATCCCTTGACTTTGCACAAATGCTCCTCGAATCTGTGGCCCGCCTGATGGACTTTCTCGACTTAGCATGGCCCACAACCCGCAGCTGCGATGACTACGACCCGACGGAGGTGATGCATAGTGGTCACCCTGCGATGCATCCTAGTTACGCTTCGACGTCGAGCAGCTCTCATACCGCCACTTCTGCTGCCTTCGGTCGCCATACAACGGCGACTGTCGGCCGATTCATACTGGACGATTCCGAAAGAGACTTGCTGCTGCAGGAAATGCTTCGGGCGTCGATGGTGTCCATGAACAATGTGGTGGCGGACGTCCATCACCGAATCTCGCAGAGCTCGAGGGCGTCTGGTGCGGACCGTCACCGGATCTCGCAGGGCTCGAGGATGTCTGGTGCGGACTATCACCGGCTTGCGGCTTCGGACCTTGGGCGCCTGGATGCTTTGTCAGGACATCTGCTGGAGCGAACGTACTCTGCGTTAGCGAGGTATGGAAGTTCAATGGTGGCGTGAGCAGGAGATGCGTTGGAACGAGGTGCTTGGACCCTGGACCTGGCAAGTTGTTTCACGAACCCCTCACGGCTAAGACCAATCTGTTCGTTCTGCTTTAGTTTCATGCATGTCATTGGGCTCCACGGAACGGCCGTTTTCTTTTTGTTAGTTCAAAACCTCGAGTTCTTGGCGATTCTGCGGGGAAAATGAGGAGTAGGCTCGGACTTTTGGGTACCGTAGAGCTGGCAATTTCAAGTTGACTTTTGCTGAACTGGATTTGTTATAACGCGCGATCGAGCTACCACTCCAAGCATTCTACACCCTGCAATGAAGCAGCTATTAAGCCCGCTATCTTCTCTATTAATCAAAGCAGATATAGAGTGCAAAACACGCAGCAGATACATTTAACATCCTCTCATTAACCTTCCGCATATAACACACTAGAGTTCCTACGCAACGTAAGGGTAAGACATTGCGTGTTGTTGCTGCGCAGGCGTCGTAGTAGGGTTTTCTAGTCCACTCACTTAGGTGTTTTACTTGCTTACGAAACACGTTATACCGCTAGGATGCAAATCCACGTAATTATAAGTCTAGTATGTACCTAAGAATAACCTTCCTCTCTAGCTAAGTAAGCTTCCTCAACTACAGCTTAACAAATCAACGTATAGAAGCCTATACTAAAGAGGATCTATTTTCTACAACATCTAATCTTAATTCTAAGTAACTATATAGAATAAAAACTATGATTATAACTAAATAGTTTTTTAGTACATAGAGTATACATTAGAATTATGTTTGGTTAAAGAACACATGCTACAATATTATAGTGTATACATGTACAGTTATGTATAAAGTGTATAAAACCTTACCTACACAGTTTTAATATAAATTTACTTTACTACCTTACTATTTTATATAATAGCTACATAATATGCCACTTATTTACACTCTTAAAAGCCTATTTTAATATGTTACTTTTTTAAATCTTTTTAACAACTACTTAAACATGTAGTTTACTAGTAATAAAAAATATTCAACGTATTCTATAAGTAAGCGCTGTATATAAATAGGCGCGCTACTTTACTAACCTTACCTACTGTTTTTATTTTAATTTAAAATAGCTTAATATAGCGCTACTTAATTTTCTTTAAATAAAGTAGATGTTTAGTTTAAAATTTTCTTTACTAGAAATAACAAGATCTAGAGTAATTACTAGGCTAGTATTATTTATAGCAAGTTTAAACAAATAATCTACTACTACTAACACGCTAGTAGCTTTTTGATTTAATTAGTAGCTTAACTTAAAAAAAGTTAACTAGCTAGAAAAAGTAATTATTAAACATATTTAAATCTAAGTTAACATAGTTTTACACCTAGCTTAGCTGCTGTGCACAATATAACATACAATCTGCTAGCTACACGTAGTAGAGAAGATAGTAAAGTTAACTAGCTAATATATTTTACAAGCATGCAGTCTACGCAAGTAAATAGTCTACTATAATAAAATTTTAGTAGTTACATTATATATTACTTTATAACTCTTATATAAATTTATTAAATTATAAAAGAAGTTTAATTTCTAAATAACTAGTATAAGTTTGTAATTAGTAACTTAACTAGTAGTAGTAGCTAAAATGTTGTTAACTTTATAGTATAGTACTTAATTCCATACTATTCTAGCTGATTTTATTAATATTTTACTTATTAGTTAATATCTACCTTGAATCTAAATTACTAATAACTATAAAAAGAATTTATTTTAAACTTAACTTTTGTTTTATATATTATTATCTAATGTAGCTTTATTTGCTTTTTAAAGTAATATAACTTACTTTTATAAAATTGTTACTAAATGTATTTAATAACAATAGCCTACTTATAATTACTGTAACGATTCTCGTTCCATCTCGGGTCGCCCGGAACCTCCGGAAGGCCCCTGTATCAGCCCCGACCTCGACCTGGCCCCGACTCTGCCCTGCCCCCTGCTGTACCTCTATTCCCTCATGTATTTAGTTGCACCTTGCCTCTATAGCTAGCTTAGTAGTTTTCTAATATCCTTTTGTAAAAGGCCTATAGGTGTCAATGGCATTCCCAGGTTCAGAGTCCCCACGCACTCCCATATGCCTCTGAGTGGACTCCCACCGCATTCGGACCTATTGTCTTGCCTGCGCTGTTACAATTACTTAGTTTGTTAAATAGGCTTTGTTAGCTAGCTGCTTATAGTATAAGAACTTAAGTAGCAAGAGTAAGAGTAGTGTACAGTGTGCATAGCGTACGAAGTAGGTAGGGTGGGGGCAACATGTTTCTAGTTCTGTATTGCTCTGTCTTTTCCTCTGTACAGAGGAAAAGGGGAATATCTAGATGTTTGCGCACAGAGGTTCACACACAAGCATTATGTAACATAGTTACATAGTCCTTCCTATGCGCAATAACTATCTAGACTGTAACACTGTTACTATATATAGATACTAGCAACTTTTTATTTTTATCTAAGAAGTTGCTTTCTGTACTAGTTACCTCCTTTCTATTTATGCAGGATTCTGTAATAAGATAGTGTAGGATCTTTATATAAAGAGGTGCATGCAATAGAAAAAAAAAGGAAATAAGCTTTATATAAAGGTGTGTTACGGTCTACGGTTGGACCAGCGTAACTCCACCCAGGATGCTCCACAATATGGTACGGTTGGAGCGGGACTCGCTTACAGACCAAGCGGAGGACGCGGAGGTAGCACGGCTACCCGAGATCACGGAAGAATGCGTCGTCCAATAGGAGGATAGGACGCGAATCCCACGAGTCCAGGAGAGCTCAGCGAGCCCCGCTTGGCGGGCTCGTGTGGGCTCGTCCAGCTCGCCTTAGCGTCCTCTACACATGTATATAGTTCCCACATTAAACAACCTTTAGGAGGTGTGTTTAATGTTTAGTTTATTCTTTACATAGACTAAGTAGCATTTAGCTTTCTAAAGAGCTGCAATACTATTTGTATATCTTGCATTATATATACCTCTAACCCTGTCTGCAAGGACTGTTTAACCCAGCCACCCTACTGCCGCATAAGGGCAAACCACGATCCGGTCTCCCTATAGCACCCTCCATTAGCCCAATAGCCTGTACGTAGGACTGTACACCCTACCGGATTGGCCCCTACCTTCCGTCCTACTTCCCCCCTAGGAATACCGATAGACCCGAGTGCTTCACGAAGCAAGGATTGTAACAAGGTGTTATTAGTCTAGTTAGTTTAAAGCATCTTTGCGCATAGGATCTAGCTAGTCTACAGTTGCTTCTATTTAGACAGAGAGGTAGTTAGTTAATATTAATAGTTAAAAAGCCTAATTTAGTATTTTTTTTATACATGCATTTATAAAGTTATTTTTACTATTAATTTACTTAATTTTTATAATCTCTTTTTTGTTATATAATTTATAGAGTAATATAATGTTAATTATAAGTTATTTTTTACTAGTAGTGCCTAGCTTAATAAGGTAATTATATAAAAACCTTAAATTTATATAGATTACTACTAAAATTAGTAGTAGTTTAAGTATTTATATAATTTACTATAAAGTTATACTAGAAGTAATTACATTATTAAACTTTTTAACTATTTTATATAGTTTACTAGTAAGGGCACTTCTAGTTACTCTTTTACACTTAGTAGAATTCTAGTGTATAATGTTACCTAGTATTTTAAAGTAGTTACTTTGTTTTATATAGTTTTTATTATTTAATATAGTTAAAAATCCTAGCTATAAGCTAAGGTTCTTATTATTAGGAAATAATCTATTTATAAAAATAAATAGCTTTATGTAGTCTAGTTATAGTAGCATAAAAGTAAGTTTTTTACAACTATTGTCTATCTACTACTAGATGTGTATATTAAGAGCTTTAATGTTTTTATGCAAAGCTTTATATAGTAATAAAAGTTATATATAAAGCTTTTTAGGCATAATTACTTTTTTTATGCTATATTATATAGCTTTTAGGCTTAACTACTTTTATTACTTAGCTATAGTGTAATTTTTTTATTTTTTAGCACTTATATAAGCTCCCTTTTAAACATGCAGCTAAGTGCTAAAAAGTCTTATAGTGTCTATTTTTTAAAATCTTTTATATATAAACTTAGAAGCTTATAACTGTTGTGTTTTACTAAAAGGTTAACCTTCTAGCTAGCACAGCAGAAGAATATGTATAGACAGATAGCTGTATGCAACACTACTTTTATATAAAGGTTTTTAAGCATAATTACTTTTTTATACTATATTATATGTCTTTTATGCTTAAGTACTTTTATTATTTAGCTATAAGATAATGTTTTTATTTTCTAGCACTTTTAGAAGTTTTTTTTAAATATATAGCTAAGTACTAAAAAATTTTTATGTATAAACTTAAAAAAGTAGCATCTTTTTAAGTTACTATATATAAATTAGAAATTATTTAACTTATATATAATTAAATTTATAGGCTTATTAAATCTTTTAATATATTAATTTTATTATTTTAGTACTTTAAGCTAGTTTTATTTTACAGTATTACTTTTAATATCTTTATATTCTGTATATTTTATGTACATAATATAATTTTTTTTTAATTTTTTCATTATTGTTAGTTGTCTCACTCCTCTAGGTGGCTACGCATCTAGTAGTGGGTCCCTTCTCTGCGTGGCTACGCACGCAGTAGGTAGTGGTGGGCAGCTGTACGCTAAGCGTACAGCCTGTAACAGAGTAAGTAGGCAAGAATCTTCTTATAAATAACTACTACCTTCTCTCTTTATACAAAGAAAGAGGACTTTTTAGTACACATAGCTTTTAATACGTAAGCTAGATAGCTAACTATTTTAGGCAACTTAATTTAGCTATACACATGTATAAAACATAGTTATACTTATATATAAACACTAGCAACTTTTTTTTTATAAATAAGTTACTTTCTTACTTTATCTTTGTTAGATTGAAGCACTGTTTCTAGGCTTCCTGAGATGAATGATGGGTTTGGATATGATGTATAGGATGATGATTGATTGTATTGATTTATCGATCCTTTTTCTGCTCTACTCGTGTTGCTCGGCTTTTGTTTTTCCGATCCGAGTCCCTCGCGCACTAGCCCTATGCGCGACCAGCTTGC